GACATGCAAACGAGGGGTGGGTGCTTTTTTCCCAACTTTACAGATAGGTGTCAGTTTAAAATTGAGACAATGGAGGCCAGTCAAGCATCTCAAATCATGCTAGACAACTGTGTGGGCAGTTTGGTGCTGAACACAATTGAGATGAATAATTCCTGGGAGGCACCTATTTTTCTCTGATGATTACTAAGGAAGCTTAGAATTTGACAAGTGGCCTTTAGATGTATAAATTTGGGTGAGCTGTAGCTGTAGATGACTACATTAAATATGTACAAAGGCAAGTGGAAATAAGTGGCCTTAAGCATTGCTCAGCTGGCAGAGGTGCTTTACTCGAGACTGAAGACACAGAGAGCTTCGAGGGTCACTCCATGTGCTGTGAGCAGAGACAGCTCCAGATCTGGCATCCTTCACCACCAAGAAACCTTATCTGAATGGAAAAGACATCGCTTGTGTGTGAAAGTGGCACTCAGTGAAGCGATTTTGCCTTCCTGTACACCAGTTACAGCTTTGGGTGTGATCCATTATGCTCTGACCTGAAACCACTCTGAAGTTTGATAGAACTTTAGTGGTGCAATAAAGTTCACAGTAGCCACAAATTAGAGAGAAGGCTTGGGCATTAAAAAAATATATATAAAAGAAGGGAGTTTATGGATGTCATTATTTAATGCATTAAAAAACCAGGGCACTGTTTGCATTGAGTAATCAGTGCTTGTTGCTCCCAGCTAAACCTGAAATGAGACTGAGTGAAATACTTTAATTATTCTCTGTAAGGTGTGCAACTCTGTGTCTGTCTTGCCTGGATGCATGGGGCTATTTTTGGCTCTTTTTGAGGATGGGAGGCCTTGTTTACAAATGTAACTGACCTTGGTAAGAACTCGAATATTTCAGCTGATTACCATGAACATGAGCCTGTGAACAGGCTCTTTTCCCCTGCAGATGCAGGTACCTAACTATGGTTTAACTATGGCTAAATAGTAATTTTTGCAAATCCTGCAGCAACACAGGCTCAGCTGACCTTACATAGCTGATCCACTTACTGCTCTCCTGTACTCTTCATTTAGGATTGCAAAACCAGAAAAGTCAAAATACCCCCTGGTCTTATGCGCCCACTCAAGCCTGAGGAAAAATCCTGCAGATTTCAGTCAGATTTATGTCAGCCCCTTAGGTGATCTCATTCAAAATTAATAACCTTGTTGTCTATTTGATAGACTTCTATTACACTGGGAATTTTACCACTGTAACTGCAGACAGTTGTTTGCCATCTCCTTTAGAGATGGGCATCCTCTGGCCATGGAGTGGACAGTTGTTGTATTGCCTCTGGAAGTGGCCAGTAACTCCTGGATGGGAGGCACTGACTTGCTGCTTGAAATTCTCCAACCAGATTATTTTCTCTTTAAAATTCAGGTATATATATTCCAAATCAGATTATACCTACATTCATTGTAGTTTAGGTTTTGAAATTTCCTCCCACTTCTAAACCAAAATACTTCCATGTTTCTGGGAGCTAAAACGTCTTCCTGCCACCACCTTGCCTCTAAAGCTTTTTACTCTTGAGCCTGTGATTTTTGCAATTCTGCCGTGAATTTTGCAGCTTGAGCTCAGATCCCAATGTTTTGGCAACACTCCTTTCTGTGTGTGAGGGAACCCAGGCTGCAGTATCACTCAAACCTCCCAGTTTTACAGGCTGCCTTACATCTCTGTAGAGCAAGCCAGTGTTTCAGTATCCCTGTTCTCTTGAAATCACTGAGGTGGCAAAGACCACAGTGTGCTACAGCTGCCACAGCTCAGCAGAGCTGTGGTTGGCTGATGCAGGAAATTCCTTTTGGTCTGAGCAGGTGCAGAGCACATGATGGCTTTTAGCAATGGAGCTGTGTGCACCGAATAAAACCAGCCCTTGGAGACCACCTTGGATTAGGAATAATAAATTCTATTAAGAATAATTGGGTTTGAGGTGAGGTGATGTGTGCAGTGTTTGTGTTTGTCTGGCCTGGGTGATGCAGGTTTTTGTGAATCAGGGGATATGATCTAGCAAGAAGTTTGTTTGTCAGGCTGCAGTCTGTGAAGGAACCAGTTTTGGTACTGGACTCATAGGCTGGTTGCAGAGGGCTCCTTGAAGCCCATTTTGTCCATGTTTCATGGCTTCTTCCTCATTTCCCTAAGGACCCTCTAGGACCTGTCTGATCCTCTTTATTCCAAACCATCAGTGTTATCACTGCAGTAATCAATAACTGCCACCACCCTCTTCATTTATCTTCCTTCTCTCTATCAGTCCTATCCCTGCTCCCACTGTCACAGTCCTCCTTTTCTATCCCTTATTTCTGATTAGCACAGCTGTTTCTTTACAGGCACCTTCTTGTCCTGCCTACTTCCTTTTTCTCTATTTGTTCTTTTCTCCCTCTCTGTCTCTCTCTGCATTTCAATAGACTTACTGGAATAGACCTATATTAAAAAAAAAAAAAGTGAGAGAAGAAAAGGACTTGTCTGCTTCCAGGGGATGGATGAGGAACAGACTGCCTAACTCCACAGAGCAGTATCCTCACCTGTGCAAGCATGACAGAGTTCAGTGATCTTTTGGCATAAGTAGAGTTTGCAGAGCTCCTTGTGACCATCTTCTGGAGAAGCTCTGCCCCTGCCTTCCTCCTGAGATGGGAAGGCTGTGTGGCTGATGGCACGGGGCTTCTGGGCACATCACCTTGACAAGGGATGCTCTGGGCATTCAGCTGCCACCTCAGGAACAAGGGGCAGCCTCAGGAGGTGTCCTGGGCTACAGCTTGGCTGCCATGTGCACTCAGGAGAGGAGCTGTGGATCTAGCCCAGCTCTTTTCCATCCCTTCCAGCCGTGTCATTGGTGATTGCTTCCACTGTGCTCCCTTCCCCTGTGCACGCTTGCTCTGAACATTGCCTGTGTTTCGGTGTTTCCACAGCAATCTGTGGAAGATACAGCCTGGAGCAGAGGTTGACTCCAGCACTGGTTGGACAGGAGGGCAGTTCTGTACAGTCCCTGGGAAGGACACAGCACATCAGGGTAGGTACACTGAAAATAGCTGCATGTGCTTACCGTGGCTGCCTCAAGCTTCTCTCTTGAACAGAGGGAAGACACTACACAGGAACCTTAGAGTGATGTTTGGTAAACAATTTTTCCTGTTGAATGCCATAAACAATTGATAAGCCGAAGTGCTAACATGTTGTGCTAGGCATGCTGAGCCCTGGCCCTTTGTTCAAATCTCCTTATGTGAAGTCTTTGCCTCTGATGTGTAAAGAGAAGATAAAAGTTTACTGTGTGAGGCCCTGTGTGAATTGTGACCAGAAAGAAAGAGATTTTATTGTAACAAACAAACGAGAAAGGAGGTGAATTCCACAATGTGTTACAAGCGAAGAGAGGAAAGGAGAAGATTACCAAGAGTCATTGATTTTCTTTTTTTATTATGTATATTTTCATTAGAAAACAATCTTGAACACCCAGGAATAGTTTTCTAATAAACATAAGCTCATGAAGAGCACTTGGAAGTTTCCATTCTGGGTTCAGGAGAATGACGGGACAGTAACACAGTCGACATGGTCATTCCTCTTAGTCAGCCCCTCCCTTGTGGCTGATCTTTCCTTACATTGCAGCCTTCCCTTCCCCGTGCTTCCTGCCCTGGACAAACCCCCCCCTCCCTCCCAACCCCACAGACATCTCTGAAGCTGTCTCAAAGAGAGTATTTCTGCATGGACACACCATTGACTCATCCCTACCCTCAGAGAACAATGGGATTTCTGGCAGGCCTGAATGAGGATCACAGCACAGACCTGGGGGATCCATGCAGACACTGCTTCCTCTCCTGGGCAGACCCTGTAGTAGTGAAGGAGGCCTTAGGAGTGACTTCAAAGGGGACTCACATGTAGAGATGCAAAATTTGCCCCCTGGGGACGAAGATCCAGGGAAGTGTTCTTGCCATCCCTGCCAGCTACCTCCATTCTTGCACTCAGCCTCTCAGGGGCAAAAGTCCTGAAGGGATTGATGCATAGCTACGGGCTGGTTGTGCTTCTGGAATGAGGAAGATTTCCTCCCCAGGCCTGGCCTGCATTGCCTACAAAAGGGTTTGTTTATAATGCAGAGCTGATGTAAATGAGCCAAAAACATGAGGGAACAAGGCCATTTTGATTTGCTACCGTACAAAGCTGACAAAGATTCTTGCTCTCCTGTCATCAGAACAAGCCTCAGCCAGGTTTTACCACCATCCAAAACGCAAGTTCTTTGTCCTCACTGTGTTTCTGGCTCAGGTACATCATCCACTGTAGTTACCCTGAGGCTAAGAAACAACAGATTCCCCATGCCATTATCCCACAGCTTGATAGCAGTGAAGGAGATGCTTGAAAGCGGTTGCTCTTCTGGATCAAGAAGTGAAACTCCATGAAAAAGGGTTCTGCTGGCCACATCAGTCTAGAGGAGTGGGAGGAAGGTTTGTGTGCCTGTTAGCAAGGAGTAGAAGGGCAGTCCAGATTCCCATCTCAGAGATTGCTACCATTTGGTAGCAATGGATCACCCCTTTCCAAGGGAAAGCGAAGGAGTAGTGAGTGAAAGGAGAGGGGGTATCATTTCATAAGAACACAAGTACTGAGATCAGCTGGTCAGAGAACATTAATTTTTGTCTCTCTAGCTAGAAAGCAAGATCGGGTGGGTTGGTTAGAAGTCCGTTCATCATTATAGGAAAAAGGATCTCTGTAAAGTGTGGTAGAAGAACTCCCAGAGAAGTGTGGCAGGCCGGATTTTAAAGGAAAGCTCTCCTGTGATGATGACCAAAGAGTAGAGTAGCTCTCATCAGCTTGAGCTGTGAAAGGATGAGACAGGTCCTTTGCAGGGGCACGATGGGCATGTGCAATTTTTGTGATTATTAATATCATAACCTGTATCAGTTGTTGGAAGCTGCCCAACAGTGACTTGCTAACAGGTGGTGATGCTGCCACCCAAGAGTGCAGCTGGAGGCAAACAGCCTGATGCCAGCTCATCCATATAGTGGGAGCTCTGGTAATCTGGTGAAGGCTATACTCTAGGAAGTCTCCTTGAGCAGACTCAGTCACTGAGACTGTCTTTGAATGATCAGGGAACTGAATGTGATATTCTAATTCTGTTTGGCAAAGCACGTCTTGATGCATGATATAACATAGAAAGGAGCATCTTCTCTTAGTACATCTTCTCTACTGTTACCTACTTCTTTAAGACTTCGGTATCAGAACACTCCTTTTTAATTCTCTTTTTTTTTTTCCTTTTTTAAGTAAGAAATATGGGAAATGTGGCTTGGGAAACTCTGTCTGAGTTCTTGTCCCATTTAGAAATCCATCTCTTTTCAAGCAGTTGTGATGGAAGCTGTTTGTGCTTTTGCATCATTGTGCTTGTTTGAGGCTCAGGTAGTTTTGAGGGGTCTTTAGTCTGTTTCTTGCTGCTGGAGCTGAGTGTCTGTTTTCCACATGTTTCTGTTTCAATGAAATGCTATACAGTAATGAGCATGAACTAAAGACAGGCCAAGAGTGCAATAAATTTATTTCCCTCTTCTGTCTTCTCTTTGCCTGAAGTCAAACCCTATGTTGCATTTTCCATAGCAACTCTCTGGCTTCTGACAAAAGCTATTCAAAAATCAAGTATTGTAGGTTTATTCAGGTTTTTATCGCTTCTTTATGTTTTCAGGATAACATTAATAAATGTATATGTATATGTTAACATACCTATTATCTTGCAATTCCAGTTCTGAAAGAGAAAAAAAATCTTTCATCAAATGAGAAATTCACCCACTGACCTGGAGGTAATTTGAATAATGAACTAAGATAGTTTTTGATGCTTGTGTAAACAGCACAGAACTGTCAGATTCTGCTCTCCTTTTATCTGACATGATAGATGTGAGATCAAAGACAGCCTGCAGTAACTGCTGCATGTCAGACTTGCATCATTGAGGGAAATATTCCTAGAGCCACTGGTCCATTACTGCAAAATGGAGGAAACCAATTGGTGTTTTCACCCTATTTCCTTCAGCATGTAAGAAATGGTGAAGGTCAATGCAATAGGCTCCTACACTTGCTTGTCCTCTCAGATTTGAATGTCATTGTTTATCAATGGAGTGAATTTGCCTGTCTGGAAATGTGAAGGATGTAGTTCTGTGTCTGCTCATGAGATCTTCAGGGCCAGAGTCTAAGGGTGGCAGAGGGGATGAGGCATCTGTTGCCTCAGGAATGAGAAGGAGCAGTCACAGGGGAGATGATGCTGGAGGGGAGATCAGGGTACTCAGCCAGCAGTCCCTATGGCAATTGCACTGCTGACTGCTCTCCTCCAAGGGCTTGACCAACATAAAAGAGAAAGGGGAAAGGAGCAGCTCTTCTGACCATGCATCCTCACAAGAAGATGGGCAGGAATCCTGGTGGAGGTACCAAGGTTGGGAGTGCTAATGGTGCAGCCTCATCCTACACTGAAGAGCATTAGTGCTTTGCTTAGTCAAATAATCTTTTTCTCTTAAGGAAAACAAAGAGAGGATGCTTGAATGACTGACCACTACAAGTGGACAGAGGATGGTCTTCAGAACTGGAGATTCTTCAGAATGGTCCTCCAGCTGCAGCCACTGGCTCTAGAGTTACTGCTGCCATATCAAGGGCTTTGAGAAGAGCCAGTGATCTGGTAGGTATGAATTGTATTCTCCTGTCTCCCTGAGTGAAAACAGGACAGCCAACACTTCTCTTGACTCAAATCTAAGCTGCTTTCTCTTTCCTTGTGTTGCCCATCCCATCATGGGAAGGATGGGCACTATCCTTCAACACTTTGCTTGGGAAACCATAACAGGGAACAGACCAGATTTTTCTGAAAAACAGCCCACAGTTTTTTACATTTTAAATTGGCAATCAAGTGTTAGCTGGGTATATGGGTTTTGCCAGCATTTGTCGTTTATATGTAGCAGCCAATTAACAGCAGGCACTGAGACTGGCAAAGTAAATATATGTCAAAGACTGATGGTTATAGAGTTTGACTTACTGATACAGACTCTTAACATTCCCTGTGTTCTCTGGTGACCCTTGGGTTAGTGCACGTGCTTGACCCCTTGCAGGCACAGAGGAGGAGGGTTTGAACTTGGCAGTGAGCATTTACCAAGAGACAGCATGGCAAGAATGGAAGAGCTGTGGAAGCTGGAGGCCAGCACTGATGTTTCAGTAGGCAAGAACAGCATTGGCAACTGACACAGAGCAAAACACCTCTGAAGAGCATAACCAGAAAAGCATTACCAGAAAGACCTGTCAAAGCTGACAGAAAATCAGGGGACTGGCAGAAATCACAAGATTGAGCAGGACCATACACGCACGATTTCTGATGATGGCTGAACACAGCCCTCCACACTGACCACCCCCAAACAATGCTGGAGGGCCACAAAGCCCAAGAACTGAGGGGTCTCCACAGTGATAGGACCCAGAATTTTCTCCATTGGGAGAAACAGCTGCCAAACTCTGCAAGCTTTGTTTGTCAGTGGAAGGTGATCTGACAGCTTTGTAACAAAGTACAGGGAACGTCTCTTCAGGGACCCAGCAGACAAGACTAGAAGAAAGACATGGGGAAGAAGAGATGCCTCTGCAGCATAGCTCTGCCCCATCTCATCTATCTGCTAGAACCACCCAATGCACAACTTGTTTTTCATGTCTCAGGAGCATACTGTCTCCATTTGCACCTTTGAAAGTCCTGCATAGTAGCACAAAGGGGACGGCACAAGGAGATTGTGGGAGATGAGAGAACTGTGCCATGGAAGGAAGAGATCCTCAGTATTTCTGCCATCAAAACTTGGAGGAGGAAAGAAAAAGGGAATTCAAAACCCCAACCCCCACACTAAATTTGCACTTGTTCTCTCAGGCTGGCAGCCTAGAAGTTCGTAAACTCAGAAGTACCTTGTTCTGGAGTAAACTGTTCTGAAATAGTTTCCAATGGCTTCCCCCGAGTTTGCTTTGCTGGTGGCAGCCCTTTGGCTCCCATGCTGGCACGTGTATGAAGCTCTTTGAGCAAGTTTTGACCTTCCTTTAGCCCCTCTGCCCATCAAGCCAGCTAATGACATGCTTCGTATTGCACAGAACACATACAATTGACAAGTTCATAGTGTTGTTTAAATATTAAACAGTCTAGACAGGCTTTTGAGTCTTGTGCCGCTGTGAAAAGGCTCAGACCATGCCCATCTCTGAAACTGGGCTGCGGGATCATTTGCACAGTAAGACAGACAATAAGACTTGTATACATTGCCATGCAACAGAATAGACCCCAAACCGCCAGCCCTAAGTGGAAAGTTTATTTCTAAGCACAATATATGGAAAAAAACAAACCAACAAACCCCACAGATATAGAAAACGTTGTAGCAAATCCCTGGTCAAGTAGGACTTCATGTCTGTCACTATCCTGCACCTCACAGCCGCTTAAAATGTCATGCAATGGAGGAGAGGGCACTCGGGCGACAGCCTCCGCGTCCGCGCGAGGAGGCCTCCAGGGAGGAGAAGGCCGATGGGCTCCCGCTGTGATCCCACTGTAACCAGCAAAAGGGCAGCGCTGCTCACCCCCACCACACACCTCGGCACTACCGGCGGTAGACTCAGCGCTTCAACAGGCTTTACCAACGTGGATTCTCACAACACCCCTGTGAGGTAGGTACGTATTGTTATTCCCCCTTGGCGTGGAGGGGGGACTGAGCCAAACAGCCCAAGGCTACAGAGTCAGTGGCAGAGCTGGAGTGAGAGTATGCAGAGTCCTGTGTGCTCAGAGTACACCACTCTTTCACAGCAAGTTGTGCTTCTGACCTCGTAACATTTTATCTGTTAGCCAAATTAAAGGAATTTGACTTCTCCATGTTAAATGAGTGGAGGGCAGGGAGGGAAACGACATCATGGGTGACAGCTGTCCCTTCATCTGTGTATACTTCCCCCTTCCCAAAAACACTATTATTATTCATCCCTCAGAATGTGGACAGCTTCCAGAACAGGCAAAGGAGTGAGAGGCTGCTGTGTTTGCTTGCTTTGGCCAGGTTTCTCTCTACTGAAGCAGTTCTTGCAGAGATCATTCATTGCAACACCTTCCTTCTGGGGGATAGCTACTTTCAGAGATGACTGGAGCTGCACCTTCCCTCTCCCTCTGCCCACCACCGTCTCTCTTCTCCCCTCTGCCAAAAGCACTCTTTGGTAGATAGTAAATCTGGTCAGACAAAGGTACAGTGGCCTCAGAAACCATGCTGTTTCACACTGGTCCTCAGTAAGCTGGCTTTCTCGGACGGTGTTCCACCTCCCCCATTCTCTGCCAGAGAAGTAAGTATCTGTTCTGTTGCATTCTGATATTTAAAGGGACACTGTCAAGTAATCGAGGTGAAAAACACGACCTTGCCTTAAGCTGCTCACCTCCATCCCCAACGCTGCAGGATGGCTGCCATGCTCAAACACAGAGGCTGAAGTTTGACACCTTCTCCAGTCCAGAAACACCTGACCTGTGACAGCCTGGCTGCCAGAGGAGCTGGCAGCCCCTGTTTGCCCTGTCTCCACAGAAGTGTGAGAGGTGCTGGTACGATGATGGAGGGCAGCTGCTTTCAGCCATCATGCAACGTTGCTTGGCACTGCTGCTAAATGGGTGCAGTTTGGCTGAAGACTTTATCTTGATTTTGGAGGAGCTGGGTTCAGGCTTGAACACTATGGGGTCATTGTTTTGTGATAGCTGAGCTTTTGCTCCTGAAAATCCCAGCTAATCTCTGTATTTCTAGGGTTCTTGCTCTTATGCTTCCTCTGTAGCAGCTGCAAAATAACTCAACCCCATAGAGCTGGGACATACCCTCCATAGAATGAAGACAGTCAGCAGGAAATCAGAAATATGGATTTCCTCCTGTCACAGAAGAAAGGTGGGGAGGAGAAGGACAGGGATAGTGAAAGGAATGGGGTGAGTGGAGAGAACCATACATGCCCAAATGGAAAAGGACAAAGTCGGTAGGGAAAGAAATTTTATTTTCAAGCTTGTAAGAGAATATTACAAACAATGGAGAGTAAAAAAAGCCCAAACCCTAAAAACTATTTAAAAAGTACTTGACAGTGTCCCTTTAATATCCACAAATGATTCAGCCATTGTGCATTGAAAGAGAATGTTCCTGAAGAGCAACCGATACCTTCGAGGATATATCCCAGAGAAGGAGACTTATTAGAAGTGCTACACAGTCAATCAGCAACTGTGCTCCCTCTTCAGACTAACTCTCTTTTGGATGATTGAATGGAACAGACTCTGTAATAAACTAACAGACTGAATGTGAAAGGATCAGCCTACAAGACTGAGTGAGACTGTTGCAAATTGAGCAGCAGAGATACAGACACCAAAAAAAAAAAGGTACATCTCCAATGCATGAGTGTCTGAATCAGCAAGGGAGCAGAAACCCACCAAAGATGGGTCAGCTTCTTGTGATTCGAGTAAAATGGAAGGAAATTAACCTGGAATGTCTTCATGGAAAATGATGTGTGTGGGCGGTAAGGTCTGGATGCTGGATTTGGGGTTATGAAGGCATGAATCACACCAGTACTTGTGCTTGAAACACCTGCGGAACGTTTGTACAAAATTTGCCAAAAATGCCTATACGTCAAATAAAGGTTATGGAGCACCCTCCCCCCTCCCAGTTCTACCCTCACAAACCCCTTGTCAGGAACATTATGAAAAAAACAGGCTTCTTGGTGAAATTTGGGTATGCCTGGATTTTGTTAAGATTTTCTCAGTGAGATGATTCAATCTGTCTTCTGTAAATCAATACTGAAAAATCCCCAGCCATTTCACTTCAGGTACCCCACAGTAAATCAAACAAGGCTCCAGTGACTCATGAAACAAAACAACTCATAGCCCTGGTTAATTGGAGTCTGGAAAATAAAACCACTCCAAATATTTCGTTCCCTTCCACGTTTTTATAAATCTCACACTACGTGTGTGTTTGTGTGCGCGTGCGTGTGTGTACGGGGGCTGTGCACAGAGCGTTACCTATTCCAGGTAATAGGATTTGTAAGACATGCTCAACCGTCTGTTCCTCTGCTTCCCCAGAACTCTGCCTACTCAGTTTGTAGTCTGTATTGCACTTGTTTTGTTGGTTTTTTTGTGATTTGTGTTGTTATTTTTTTCTTTTTTTTTTCTTTTTTTTTTTTTTTTTAAACAGGCTGGAAAACGTTAACCTCTTTAGCATGAGTGTGCAGCTCTCCCTCCACCTGCTTTTTTCCTTAGCTGGCCAGGTGCCGCCTCTTATATCTTGTGCAGTTACTGAAAAAAGAAAAGAAGAGAAGAAAAAAAGAAAAAAGAAAAGGAAAGAGAAAGAAAAAGGCACACCATGCTCCTCTGCTTTATGAGTTCTTTGTCTCCTCCGCTTCCGTGTTAAGGCCTCCTGAATTCCTCTGCTCAGACCGTCGTGACCCTCATGACGAGCTCTCTGTTACTACTAGACTGACTCCTCTGTTCGTGAGGCCTCAGGTGGCTGAGTATATGCAGGATGGTATAAGCACAGTGGTGGTCAGAGAGGGTGCCTGTGGCATGGCCGGCAGCCCGTGCCCCGCTGTCGGCTGGAGCGGAGTTAGTGGCTGTACCACCAGTGGAGGACGAGTGGGTGGTTTGGGAGGAGGGGCGCTGATTTGTCCTGGTCCCTGTTTTTTGCTCCTCCATGTCCTTTGTTTTGTCATAGTTCAGCACTTTCCACTGCTGATTGACCGCCTGCCACCGTTTAAAAATCCGATAAACTGAGGGCCCTTCGTGTATTATTAGACCTGGAGGGAAGGGGGAAAGAAATAGACATAAAACACAAACAAAACTTTAGAAACAACCATAAACCTTCCCCAGCATTTCCCCCAGTTAGCTGGCTAAGGTTAGCTCTCTAGCCAGTGCTTTCTGAATGATAAATCCTGTATTTTAATTACCGACAGGCAGAGCACTGTCTGCTGGATCCGTTTTTCCCCTGAATTAAAGGGATTACGGTTTTATCTCAGCCATCGAGAAACGGATCGTAAATGGAGCACAGTGAGTTATGCTCTTACAGCAAAAGAGTATCTGTTTACCAACAAATGCCCAAGGTTTATCTCTCACTGGGCTAATTTTGCATGCTGCATAGGCATGATTCACTGGCTCAGGCGTGTGTTTGGAGGGGGTGTAGCTGCAGCTGACGTGTCACTGACGGCTGCTGCACCAGCGCCATATGTGTGCACAGCCCGCGTCTCTCCCCACACACACAGCAGCAGAGCAGACACACCTGAGCACAAAAAACGGTTCTGTCTGTACCCATAAGTGGTTCGTTATCCAAGGCAAAGTTTTGTTCATCTGCAGAGCAGGTACCTCATTGAGTGTCACTCCCTCCTTTGAGGGGGAGCTCAGCATGCTTGACAGAAAGGGCAGAGGAGCTCCCAGTGTGTGCAGAGCATGCAGGCAGTGCCTGTGTCCTGCTGCCCACCTGCAGGCACAGGGCTGATGTCTGGGGATGGCTCTGGGCTGTAGGACATGGCACTGCTAATGGTCTCTGTATTCCTAAGAGAAGGAGCAGCTCAGGCCCCTCAGCAGCCCAGTAGTTAGCTCAGTTCCCAGCTGTCTCCATCATCCTCCCCACCCTTGCATGAGAACTAAGGAATTAAATTATTTTAGCTGCTTGGATGATAACACTACTTGAGTATTAAGCTCTGCTATTATTATTGAGGTTGCAGACCCTGGCTAGACCTTGTGGAAGCACTAGGTCTAACAGTGGCTGCCACACAGGTCTTCTCCACTGAGGCTGGAGGAAGCTGCAACGTCTCCTGTAGACTGGCTTAGCTGGCACACTGTAATATACCTCACAAGCTTTGCTAGACAATGGGATTTATATGGAATGAGGGGAGCCTGAGTGTCCCTGCTTTGCAGTCATCTGTCTCTTAAGAAAGTGCCTTTGTGTCCCATGTAACTGAAGCCAGACCGGCAGGCAGGACTGGGTGAGTTAGCACATGGATGGCTTCATTGTCCTTAATGATGAAGGCTTCACCATTCTGGGTCAGGACCAAGATTATCAAAAACCCTTCGAATAAGAGTAGCTCTCTTGCCTTCCTGTTGCAAGCATAAAAATACAAGAACAAGATTCACAAGAATCAAACCCATGCCTAAACAAAGGGGCTGAATTGACCAACAATATGTAGAGAGATGATGGGCACCCCAGAATAAAGTGGTTTACAGCTATCACTGATTAATCAGATGCTACAGCTTTACCCACCACCTACCTTTTCCAGACACTTCCAGCTTCTGATGACAGATAATTACTGGAGACAACCTGTGCCACATCAGACCCCAAAATATCTGAAGGTCATCTTACCCTTAGGGCTAATCTCCCCATTACCCACTGAGAGGATGCAGGCACTTGGTTTCTTAGGATCAGCATTTGATGTTAAAGAGTTTAAATCCTTGCTTCAGTACAGACTGAGTTTCCAGCCTCCCTAGTTCTAAGCATAACTAGGAGCCCTGCTGATTTGATCCCAGATTAGCTTCAGGGAATGAACTTGCATTTATTGGAATGGGGTGCTGAGCTTGCTCACTGGCTGTAGAATTAACTCCACTGGATAGCTTGTATGCAGATCTGACTATTTTGGGACAGGGAATGGTGCAGGGCACCACAGTATGAGAGAGCTCTACCCTCTCGTTCCCACAGGCCACTGAGATTGCACAGCTGTAACCCTGCAGTGCTGCTGGCTTTTTATAACCAAACTCAGTGATGTCATAATAGCAAATGTGGGTTTCCCTTCCTGCTTTGAAACATGGCTGAGGATTCTGACGTGGTCTGATCAAAGCATCAACCATAAAAAGCAGGACTTAGGGAAAGCCTGCAGATCCAGCCAAGGAGACAGAGCTTTGAAGCATGCCTGAAGTGGATCAGCCCATGACAAGGGACATTAGACATACATTTAAATGAGCTGTCTGATCAGTAATGAATGAAATTCCACTCTGATCAGTGTTTCTCAGAGACCACTTTAAGCCTGGGATAAAAGAGCCAAAATCAAATGTTTTCTCTTTGGCTGTAGAACATTCTCTATAGAATCAAATCCATTCTACAAAGTATTAAACACCGAGCCACGATTGTAAATCTATTCTTAATTACCTTATCACAAATATTTAATGCGCAGCCTGATTCAAGAGGGCTGTTTATAAAATTCTTGTTTGTTTGCCTTCTAATTATAAATGTTTATGATCTTATGCAATTAACTGTGTGATGCTGATGGATGGGTTGCTGAGTCAATTGAGCAGCTGTTTTCTTAGATAGTTTTGGTTTCCAAATATTTATAAAAGTACAAAATAACCTCTTTTCATCTGTATTTACTGGGCTCTAAATTACTTATCGATTTCCCAGTGTCAAGCTCAGGAAGCTGTAAAATTAAGAAGGAACCAAGTGGAGGGGTGGGCATGGAAGCGGAAGTAACAGTGATTCATTCACAAGAGGAAGTGCCAAGAGTAAGCAAGAGTCCATCAGTTAATATCAAGCTGCAGGATGCTTAATGCTCTCATTGAAACAAATCTTGTCTGCCTCAGATAAATTAGGAGTGGAATTCTTACATTCAGCTCTGTGCATCCCTTAACAAGAACACCCCTCCCCTGAAAAATCATTCTTGTTGACTGAGGTGAAATGTTCAGTTTAAAGGCCAGAATTTAGTGGGAAGTCCTTTAGGAAGGACTGTATTCAACTGGAGGTGTCCATTTAGAAGCAGTTATTCCATAAGCCAAATCCTCTGTGTGAGTGTGTAAGATTGCAGGCTGGTGTGATCTTCTCTCTTTGTGCAGTCCTCAACAGAAATGCCTATATCAGAGTTTCAGATGGATTCTGGGAGTGTCCCAGTCCTTTTCTACTCCTCCCCATTTTATCTCACCCTCTTCTGCTTCACAAAATCTCAGTGGATCCTCTGTGAAAACCATCGTCTTCAGAAGGAAAAATTCTGTGAGTTGTACACTTGCTATTCCAGATTGTTGCCTGCTCCATGAAATCCCAAGTTTGTAGTGCTGGTGAAGTGAAACTCATATAGAATGTGGGCACTCATGATGTGCTGCTCTCATTCCCATTTTCTCATGTAGAGACCTTGCTGGACCAGCATTAGATGAAATTCCTTGATCTGAAAGTTGTTGAAAGCTGGACTCTCTTGGGAATAGATGACACAGAGGTGCATTGCATCAGTGGGCTTGTAAGAAAACTCATCAAGAGAAAGGTCCTCAGCCCAAGGGCCAGAAGGGCTGCTGGGAGAACAGTGGCAGAGTAACAAGGGAATTGTGTTTGTGTCTCTGGATGGGGAGCAGTACCATCACAGATGCTGTACCACCATCCTGTGAGATTGAGATTAACCCAGGGGGTTGTGAGCCTCCAATTTAAAGTAACTTTGGAGCAGGAGTTTCCCAGAAATGACATTCAGTGAACTCCTGAACATGGTCAGCCTCTGCCACTAAGTGATGTTTTCCCCAGAATTTTCAGCTTCTAATTACCCTTCCTCTTATTCCAACACTTGCCATGAAAGAAACAGGTAAATTTTTAAGGCAGGAACTGTTTCACCTGTTTGCCAGTAAGGAAAACCACCAAAACAGGGCTTCTGCTGACAGTGGGTGGCTCATCACCCCTGCACTGACACTGATATTATCTACACAAGAAAAAAATCACAGTCCATTCCAGCCAGTTGCCTTCTCAAAAAGGCCCTGTCCTGTCACCTCTTGTTTCCACCTTCAGCAGGACTTTGCCTTTTTGTTTTCCTTTTCAAATGCAATTTCATCTCAGCCAGACAGCTGCCATGCTTCAGCCTGTTTCTGTTGCTTTCATTATTGGGTGTCAGGGGAAGATTATGGCAGCTGTGATCAAAGCTTAATGTTTGCCTCCACAGCAGCTGTGACTCAGGCCAAGGTAAACCAAGCTTTCTGGGAGATAACACTTTATTTGCAATGCTTTCTCTCCATTGACATCATTGCATACACAAACCCTTCCCTCCCTTTCTGTGAATTCTTTAATCTTTTGTGACAATCTCAAATTTTGGCACTTATGTTTCCAAAGCTCCACCAGCTCAGCCCTCACTAATCTTTTTGCCTTAATCTTATCTTATTTGCTCCATCCTTAGTCACCTTTTATCTTGACCTAAGAACAGGAAAGTGGCTGATGATCAATCAGGAAAAGAAATACAGGCTTGGAAAGGGGTACATGGTATCTGGCATCCCTCACCATTGTGCCCAGGTCGGTTCCAGCTGAATATGACAAATTCTCTGAACAGCCTGGCGTTCTTAGGTGCTCCTGTGGCTGATACTCAAGGCTGCAGAGGAAATGGGGAAGAGGGTGAACCTGTGCTCTTCAGGAAATGGGAAAGAGGGTGAACCAAGGAACAGGGAGAAGCAGTTTTGTATTTGAAAACAATGCCATGGCATCAATGTGACTCTGTACTTGGGCTGATTTGGAGGAGAGTTGTGAACCCCAGAGCTGACCAGGCTGGGAATGAGGTAATGTCCTTCTTCTCCTCAATCCTGCATCATCATCTCCAGAATCTTTTAATTTCATCTCCCTTTTTCTGCAGGTGAACTCCCCAGGAGGGTGCAGTCCCAGGGCAGAGAGGTGCAGAATCAGCACTGTAACACCCCACCTGCCTTTTGATTCCCTGCTGAAATAAACTGGTCTGTCACTGTCTTCAGCAGTGTGACTGGTCCAGCTTGTGTTTGGGATTCTGATTTCTCATTCCTAAGGGTAATGCTTTGCACTTCTTTATTCAATTACATCTTGTTGATTCCTCCAATTTGCCAAGAT